CAGTGTGTGCAACCGAAGCAGTGGAACCAGAGATCTGATTAATCTGACACCACCTGAGAAAATCTTTGTAGCTTGGCGTAGGGTTCTGAATAGAAGGTGAAGTCTACACAGTTTATAGGCTATCACTTTGAGCTGCATTTACCTGGCGTGGGGGTTTGCCATGTAGCTTTCAACAATGGTCAATAGTATGTCCAAGCCGGTTACAATCGTTACACTTGGGACGAGGTTTGGAGTTAGATGACCCTGTTCAAGGGCAATTCTGATTGTTGCCAAGAGATGCGAGGGCAGCGGTGTCACCTGTTGTTGGAGCCACAGTAGATGGAGGAAAAACTGGACCAAACGCATGAGGTGTAGCCAAGCGCAACAGTTGTTCACTAACTGCATCATAGTTAGGAACAGTAATACCTGATAAAATCTGGTTACGAACGGAGTCGAGTTCGGGTGGTAGTCCTTTAAGTCCCATGACCATGAAAAATTTACTCTTTTGTTCGGCATGAGCTGTTGCATCTTTTGCATACGGCATGAGGGTTGCGTAACTTGCTTTCAAGGCATCAAGCTTACTCAGATAGGTTTGCAAATCCATATTTTCCATCTTCAGGGTGTCGAGTTTGAGGATGACACTGTATAGACAATGAACGTCGTTGGAGAAGACTTTCTTTTCTTGGCCTTTTCCCAAACTTCATAGCAAGCGGAGAAGGCTTGATACTGCGCTTGGAGGTTAGGTGTTATGGAGAACCATAACACGGTAACTAGAGAGACATCTGTTTTCTTCCATTTAGGGAGTTTGTCGGAGGCGACTATTGTGTGGTTAGGTGATCTCATATCCCTGACCATGAAACCACATATCGACAGCATGAGCCCATATGTTATAGTTTGCTAATCCGGTTAGTTTTTCACATGGAATAAGAGGAACTTTAGTAAACGAGACAGAATCAGCGTCTCCCATAGCTTAATGACACAAAAAACAGAGTGAAATCGGGTTTGTTTGCACTGGAGCACCGTTTTCCGTGAGTCGGAAAGTAAAACAGAGGCCTGATCTGGAATGGGTGAGGAGAGGCGAGTAGATCGGCAAAAAAACGGTCGGAATCAGCCGCCGGACACGCTGGGGAAGCAGTAGGAAAAAGGGCGACAACCGGATCGGTTGGATGGTTGGGACTAACTCAACCCTAAAAAACCGGTTTTCCGAAACGTCGTCGGAAGTTTTGCCGAAACTGTAACGGCGGCAAGGCGGTTACCGAAGAATTTTGAAAAGTGAGAGGCAAACCGGAGTGACAACACGGTTTGCCAAAACAAAAATCCTCACCGGTAAAATACGGCGAATCACCAGTAAAATACGGCGAAGAAAGAATTGCCTCTTAGTAGACTCTAGATATCATGTTGAAATACAAGAGACTAAGAGACATGAATAAACCGTGTGTTTTAAAAAGCACTACGGAGACATTATTATATATAAACAGATTACAACTAATTACATGATATAGTCGATGTGCGACTATTTTATATACAAATATTCTTAACACTATATATATATTTACAAATATCAACAGCTTGTATACGGAGACAAACACCAAACACGACACTACCACTATAACGCACGCAGACACCAATGATAATTCAAAATGGTAAAAGTAATTGAATGTAATCAAGTACACCTGTGTCGGACATAGTCTTTGAAACTCTCAGGATTACGGTATCGTATTGTCTTGTTATATTCATGACGTAAATTCCAAAAGTTTAAACTGATTGGTTGATGCAAAGTATATAATGAGTAGTCATATTTAATTGCAGGCTTGGAAAATGGATAAAGCTATGGGATGCTACTAAGTAGATCGGTCGAATGTAGCTATAAAAGAACAATTTGGGAGATTTATTGATGTTTTGGATCCTGGATGCCATTGCCAGAGAGATATTCTCTCCTAACCAAATTTTTAACAAACTTCTCAATGATCCCCACTCTCACCTCCTCTATCTCTTATAACCCTCCCTTGCTAACAGAGTATTGTCACTGTCATTCCCCTATTTCCCTATTCAGCCTCAGTATTGGACTGAGACCCAAAACTAGTGTCCCATCATTCTCCTACTTAGTTCTGAAACGTTTACAGATTCAATTCTGTCAGTATTAAATGATGCATACCCATCTAATAATGAACTTAAATTAATGAATTTATATTTAGAATATCAGAATCTAGCACTGTAAAGAGTCAAATATAGCCCAAAGAGCTTTACGACTGGAAATTAAGTATAGCTCTGATATGTGATACAAGTAAAGGGTAAAAGTTCAGATGAATTCTAATTACCTTCTCAGCAGATGCGAAAAGATCCAACCTCACTTCGCCAAAAGACATCTGCAACATTTTCCATCTATGCTTAGGTTTATTGAAAAAAACGGGGTTTTGACACTTCAAAAAAAGGCAAAGTTAAAAGTTAATACTTCCTACTAGTAAGGTCCAGAGTTGTTTTTGTGACAGAACTCAAATAATGACGATACAAGAAACTGTTAACAGGAATAAGCAAAATCAGGCAAATGTATCATTCTTTTCATCAACTGACCTAAGCAAATAGCAATATTATTAGTGCAATAATTAGCAATATTAGTAGACAAAACAAGAGACTGGCATTCAATGTCCAACAGCAACACAATATTAAACCCACAGGTGAAGCATGTTTGATGTGACATTTACCACATATTTCTGTCCATATGCAGGAATAATTTTAAAAAATTGTTCTGCCACAGCCAGGAAGACTTACATGGTGCTCAGACCGACACAAACACCTTCAGATATAGGGGTATCAACAATGACGGCTACGTCAACAAACACATTTAACTCAAGCTCTAGTAGTGTTTGGGGAAGATTAGATCAACAGATCCCGCCGTGTCCTGCTCAGCAAAAATGCACATGCTCTATCAAAAATACTAGTGAGCGAAGGTCCAAGGTCTTGAAAAATCTATGTTGCAGAGAAGAAAAGTATTTCCGATGGCAGTTAGACTAGGATAACATTTATGTGTCACTTATATGTGTAATTTTATATTTATGGACATCAAGGAATAACTAATAGACAAGAAATACAAATGCACACCCTCCTCATCAAGTACCAGTTTCAGAACCCAAATACAAATAACGGACGCAATCATGCATGTGTAAAGTATTCTTTAATATAGCATTGTAATCAAATGATGAATATCCATAAGAAATTGTGTTCTAAAGTTGCCTATCAAAATTTGAAGCTTTGCTGCACAAGAAAATACAAACTTCGGCATTACTTCAAGGATATTTGAATACTCCAAATAGCTTCTTATAACTATCATCAAATGTAAAATGCCTCCTATCATCAAGTATATGAGACTCATAAAAAAGAAAAACAAAGCAGAGTGAATAGCTTTTAATAGTGAAAGACCTAGGCTCAAACAATATAGCAAATTAATCCTTTCAACCTGAATTGTAACCTTCTTTTATAGAATTCCCGTAATTAATATAATTATGAATTTCCATGAATTGTGGTATTATCTCACCATCTTATTTTGACTCCAACATCTGGACTTTACATGCCAATTACATTAGTAGTCAGTAATCCTAATGTTTATAAATATGATTATACAACCACCTCCATTTTTGCAGCGACTACATCTTGCATTCAATCACTTCTATATGATCATGATGATTTGACCTTTTCATAGAAAATGAATCCATTGCTCTGACTTGTCATAATATGACAGTGAACCTCAGATAACAATCAAAAGGGAAAGATAGTAGATCAAACTGTGTTAAATAGTTCACAGAACAGCACTCCTCAAAAGTGGTGCTAATCTTAGCAGGAAATATGGTGTTTCAACTATCAATTATTGACAATGAAATAGGCATTCCCTTTAACTTACCATGTTTGACTCTCTTTACGGACCCAATCCGATTTGTCTACCTTGGATCATTGCACTGGAAATGAAATATTAGGATCCGACTTGTGTGCAGTCACAAGTCAGTGACTGCATGCAGTCAGCAAGTTTGAGGCTGTCCGATTGTTGGCTCCAGCTGACTGCGTGGAGTGGCGACTGCACCTAATCCGAATTCAAAATATTTGACCTTCCTGTTTTGTTACAAACATGACAAGCAAAAAAGATGAGGATTATTATAATAATAAATTACTAATACTAAATTCTTTTAATATCTTCAATGTTATAATCCTCGATACTATCATTATTGCAACAAAAATATATCATTTCATAGAAACCAGCATCTGTGGTTTAATTTAACTTGATGATATAAAGTGGGTCAACATAGAATTGGAAAATAGGAAGATATTTGGTAAATCACAGCAGCAATGGACCCAAAACATTTGTTTAGCTGCAGGCGAGAGATTTTTGCATTAATATTCAATATTATAAATAAATAAATATACACAAATACTTAATGTGCCGTACATGTAATGTAATACTATATGATTACTCTTGATATTTTCAATCAATTAGGTTTTAGGATTATGATGAGTACAATTTAAGTGAACTTTTACAGTGGTAGACTATATGCCCTGTTTTGGAAAATGTTATACAGAATATTCTTGTATAACCCAAAATGTAATTGTCTGCGTACATAGAAATGTGAAATTCAATATGTAAGAAATGAAACATTTCATGTTAGCATTATGAATCTCATTTTATTGACTTAAAAATGATGGTTCGAATATTACTCACAAAATAACAAGCTAATACAGTATAATAATAAATAACTATATTTTTACCCAAAACAAATAACAACATGGTAATAGGTGGATGAAAGCGAGTGATACATCTACTAAGCACACAGATTTTATACCGAATCTACGATCAAACAGTTTAAAATGGTTTATCAGTTCAAAATAGCAAGTTGAACAATGTAACTATATAATAATAGAGATGTCAAAACATGAGAAGAAAGATATTATGTCAAAACACATACCAACGGGATATAATGGAAGCCTTGACAGAGCTGTCTAATTGCACCAGCTTTCAGACGCAGAACCTTACATAATCAGGACAAAAGAGTTGCCCTCATTTCGTCATACAACGTATGAGCCTGGTCTATCATGTTTAACTTCCAATATGCATTACTCAAACTAGTATAAGTAATTACATCTGGTGAACAGCCATCCCGCAACATTTCATAATATAATGCCCGTGCCATAATCATCTCTTCAGCATTACAAAAGGCAATTATTAGAGTATTATATGCTTTCTGATCTGGATATACACCCCTTTCTTTCATTTCCTCAAATAAGTAGTATGCTAAACGTCTTTTGCAATTACGGATACATCGGTCCATAAGAAATGTATATGTTCTGACGTTGAAAGTGATTCCTACTTTTGTCATTCTTGTGAATAACTTCACGGCCTTTTTAGAATTTGAATGTTTGACAAAGCCAGTTATAAGCGTGCTATAATTAACAACTCCAGGAAGTACATTATTTTTAAGCATTAGTGGCAGAAGCTGCAGTGCCTTTTCTGGAAAATGTTCTCTACAAAGCATGTGGATGAATTCATTATATGAATATGGGTTGAGGTTAACTCCATGTTCTTGGAATTTCTTCGACAACGCCAAGGCTTTACTGAATTCACGTTCCCTGCAGTAAATACTAAGAATATGATTGCAAGTGATTGTATCTGGCCAGAAACCCCTTTTTTGCATGATACCATAAATTTTTAATGCGTTAGTGAATTGTCTCAATTTGTAGAACCCCCTAATTAGACTGCAATAACTAAAAGCAGAGGGAGCAAAATTATTGTCACTCATCTCCTCCAGAAGATTGATGGCTGAACGCATATCACCTTTCCTGCAAAATCCATCAACTAAAGTTTCGTACATAATCTGATCATATTTGCAACCTGAAGCTCTGATTTCATGGAAAATATTCATCAAGCTTTGCATCGGCCTATTCTTGCCTAGACCGCGAATGAGAGAAGTATAGCTAACAATGGATGGTTTTATTCTGTAGAGCTTCATATCTGTCATCAAGTCAATAGCTCTCTTATCATCTCCATTCTTGCAAAATGCATCAACTAAAATGCTATAACTATAAACATCGGGCAGTATTACAGAGTTTTTCATTTCTTCCAAAACAATTGAAGCTTCATCTACTGCACCTCTTTGACAAAATTCATATATGACAGCATTAAAACAATGGCTATTGAGAGGCTGGTTTTTTCGGTGCAAGTCACAAATTAACTTCAACGCAACCTCAACAGAACCAACTTTACAAAGTCCCTTAATATAAGTACTATACGTAACAACAGTCGGGGTTTCCCCACTCCTATATATTTTTCCTAAAATCTCAGAAGCCCGTCTAATATCAGCACTGCACCCAACATCTCTACAATAAAAGTTCATCATGATTGTATAAGTGTGGATATTCATCTTTGGACCAAAGTTTTTCAAATCCTCAAAGAAACATCTCACACCATCCACTCTATTTGCTTCTACCAAACACTTCAACAAGAAATTACAAGCCATTATATCAAGCTGAACCCCAACATCCCTAGCACTAACAAACACATAATAGGCATGTTCAAGCATAGAGTTTGAAGCAAAAACTTTCATAAGCATATCAAACACAACATCAGACCTTTTCACATGGTGTGGTGAATCAAGCAAAACCGAAAACAACTCGGACGCATCTCGGTTTTCCTCTTTATAGTATCCAACAATATCTCTAAGCAAAATAAACACTTCCAAACTCATGTCAGCCAAAGCATAAGTGTGAATGATGATTCTAAAGGAATTGATTGAATGATAAAAACCATGACTTTGAACCAAACCTTTGAACTTTACTTCCCTTGCAACCCCCCAGTTTAAGGACTTGAACACCTTAACAACCAAACGAGATAATTTCGTCGGGGTTTTAGGAACCGGAGCATTGAAATTTGGAGTTTCATCTTCCAATAACAACGCGGAAGAATTGGGAGAATAGAACCTGAAGAAACGTGGTTGTTGGAAGTGAACTCTGCTGCGGAGTAAGCATTTCACCGCCATGAAAATTTATCATAGCGCCGCCATTGAAAACTTAGGGGAAATTGAAGTGAACAACGACACGGTCAATGATGATTTTGTTATTTTGTTGGTGTTTGTTGCAATTTGAATGTTTTGGTTAGAGAAAGAGAAGAAAATAGGGTTTGCTTGTGATGAGTAATGAGTAGTCGGCGTAGTAGGTTGATGAAGCGGTGTTCTGTTTTCCGGTTCGGCGTTTGTTCAGGTTTTGGTAAGCGGCGCAACTAAACAAAACCAGACAGAAGCACTGGATATGCAAGGAGCACGTGACCTACATAGGGTGTTGAGCGTGTTTGAGTTTTTTTCAATAGAAAGCTACTGTATTTTCTCGGCGTAATTGTATAGTTAATTTCTTAGACGGATAAAACCATTGAGTTTGTGAAAATTAATTTTAAATTAATTGATTCGTAAAAAAAAAAAAATTTAATGTGAACATCCAGTATTTAGTTTGCATGATTGAGGTATATGAATGTAGAATTTTTTTTTTAAAATTAACCGATATTTTCAAATAAAATATTAAATAAACTATTTTTTAAAATAATTATATTTGAATTGTACACAATGAGAATACGTCATTTGAATTGACACATGCATGTCCTCTCACACTTATGCGCCATCTAAAATGGAATATGCACAACTTATGCATCATATGACTCATTGTCACAATACATGCACCATTTGATATGGTTACTATTTTATACTAACTTTCTTATAAATACAACACCACTTCTTCTTTATTTTTCGCACTTCTTTTTACTATTTCCTTCCATTTTTATAATTTTTTTCTATTTTTTTTCTTTCTAATGTCTTCATATATGTGTCTTTATATCCACAAGAGAAATGCCGATTTAATTTATTCGGCAGTAATGCCTCCGATGAAGATCCAACTCTAAAATACAAAGACGTTCCAACATCTTAACAAGAGTCTGATCCATTGGTTAGATTGAGACATTGCAGAGGGTAAAAAGATCTGAAGAATTCAATGGTTTGTTACCACGTTCAACCAAAATGGATAAGTTTGTTTCTGGGAGAATGTTAAAACTGGCAGAGATGTTCACACGATGATGTGTAGTTCTCGGGAAATTGTCCTGATGGTTGTAATCGCATAGTTATGTTGTTTAGTCGTTGTATTTATTTGTTTTGTTATTTATTTGTTTAAATTATTGTTAGTTGTTGTTTTTAAATTATTGTAACGAAATGTTATGATATTTATGAAATGAAAGTTGTTATTAAAGCGAAATTGTTACATTTAAAATTATATTGTTCTGCTTGGTCCAACATTGGGACAGTTGGTACAATTGTGCGAGATGACAACATTAACTACATAATCTCACCATTTTATTTGTTATATCCATTTCGGTACGAATACGCGTGCTGTTAGGGCGGCCTTTTTTCTTTCTTCGCGTAATTTCATTGTGCCTGACTATATCCCCTTCATATACAGACCAACAGTCATCTTTTACTACCACCTGAAAGCTAGTGTTATAGACATTGCATAGGTTTAAGACTTGGTAAACAGCGAACAGTAAGTTGGAAGGGTCCTGGAGAGTCTTTGAACATGCTTTTATGACATGGGAGCAAGGCATACGAAAGACTTGAAACATTCCACAGTCGCACCAACTTCTATCTAGTTCCACTCGATAGGATCCCCTCGACCTCCCTTCATTGTGATCCATTGACTCAGCAATACTGAACCAACCTTTATTACGGTCAAACAATATGACCACATGTGTGTTAGCTTTGGCAAATTCCTTCTTAATGAATTTCATTGAACTATCACTAAACAGTTGTCCAAATGGTAAGACAAAACTCTATTTTGAATGTATGATATCAAAAAGTGACCCGAGCATAAAATAGGTTGCCCTCACCAAATCAGTTATCGATAGTTTTCGAACGCCTTTGAAGACATAGTTCATTGATTCCACGAGATTTATTGTTGTGTGGCCCCGTCGTTTTTCATTGGCGTATGCCCTGGTCCATTTCTCCAATGGAATATTGTCAATCCACGTTACTGCATCTATATTTGTTAATCTGATGTCTTCACAGTAGTGTTTGAAGGAAGGTTTTATTAATGCATACCATGCATTCATAACCTTCTTCCGCAACGTCTTGTCTTTGATCTCCCGCATGAAATTTCGAGCGATGTGTCTAATGCAATAGACATGCGTTGAAGGAGGATCCTGCCAGTCGTTATCAAGATTTTTATATGCACTCTCAATTGATGCATGTGAGTCTGAAATCAAACATAAGTTAGGATGATAGGCAACGTGTAATCGGGGATTTTTTAGGAAAAAACTTCATCCACCAGCAGTCTCCCCTTCAACTAGAGCAAAGGTGATTGGAAAAATGTTGTTGTTGCCATCTTGTGCAAGTGCTATGAGTAGTGTTCCTTTATATTTTTTGTATAGCCAAGTTCCATCAATTTGTATAATAGGTTTACAGAAGGAAAAACTTTGATACATGGTTCAAACACCCAGAAGAGTCGGTGGAATATGTCATTTCCACTAACACAAGTCTCGTTTGGGGTATATGTCTGCAAGGTCTCTAAAATGACAACAATCCCTGAAGCATAATGCTTAAGTGCCACCAAATATTTTGGGAGTTCTTTGTATGACTCCTCCCGATTTTTGAACATCGTTTTAACCCCCTTAGTCCTAGTTATACATGCTTTCTTGTACGACAGAGTGTAATTGTATCGTGTAATGATATGCGAGATTATTGTACTCACCTTCAACAATGGATTGTCGCTAATGACAAACAAAATTTCATTGCATATTAATTGAGAGTTGGGTTTATGATGATCCTGCATCAGATTGGTGATAATATAAGTGTAATATGGACTCATAGACTATATCTTCCAAGAATCACTCATCTTCTGATAAGATGTCAATCAGAAAGGGCATACCTCATTACAACAGTAGATAACTCCATGTTATATTATTTTATAGCTCTGACACAGTTTTTTTTGTTCGAAAATTGCCTCCCTCTTTAATGCTCCTTGTGTTTGCATATACGGATTGTGAAAAATATATGATGATGGTTCATCTGCATCCAAGTTCATGTTTGTCATGTGTTGAGGTGGACAATAAACATGACTAGCCATTAATGTCTCTTCCTCATGGCCAACAGTGGAATCGTTTACCATTTGATCCACTAAGACATCAACTTCTTCTTCATCGTCAACAACATCGACTTTAGCTTGTTTGATTGGGCGGGTCATTGATTTTCAAATCAGTTGTTGTAACCTTTAATTTCAATAAATAATGGTTTAAATTATTTTCTATTTTCTTTTTTATTTATTTCTATTTTTATAATTACATTAATTAAAAAGAATAATAATAAAAGGATGCGTCGTTTGAAATGGCGCATGCACTCCATGCATACATGTATGCGTCATTTCTCATGGCTCCACATATATGCATGAGCCATTTCAAATGGCGTGTATGTTTTATTTTAAATGCGTGAGTCATTTTAAATGACGCCTTTATTTTAATTCCTCCTGAAACATGATTATTTTGGTAATTATTTTGAAATGGTGGTTATTTAGTATTTTATTTGAAAATAGTAGTTATTTAAAAAAATCGAGGAAACAACAATATAGTCTTATTTTAAAGAGTGGGATGTATTATATGGATTAATTTCCTGTTATAATGTTCTATTAATTTTTTTTAATTTTAATATCTTTTCGAATAGTTTTTCATATATATTTTTTTTACTTTTTCATTTTCTTTAAATTTGTTTAAGTCAGTTTTCATATGGTTTATTTTCCTTACAATATGATTTACGTGTTTTCTGTCCAAATTATTTAGTTATATTTTTCATCATCTTTTCTATTATAGTTATATTCTCAACACTCTTTAATATTATCATTTCAAATTTTATTATGTCTAGTCTTACCACACATTTAATGCAACATCATTGTCATTGTTACACTTTATTTCTGTGTTAATTTTTAATCGTCCAACATTTTGTCTCATACAATATTGTAGGTCTTACTGATGTCCAATAAAAAAAGTTCCTTCAATTTGAGCGGTATTTTTGTGTCACAAAAAACTAGGGGTGACAAAACGAGTTGTCCACCCCACTCTGCCCCGCCTTAAGCCCTTCAAAAAAGGGGGTGGAGCGGGCAAGCCCGTCAAGTGAAAATTGGCTTTAAAATCTAACCTGCCCTGCCAAGGTGGCGGATTGGCGGGCAACAGTTTGCCCCCTATTTATTTATTTATTTATTTATTTTTCATTTTTTTAATAGATTAATAGGCTTACTTTTACATTTCAATTTGATTTTTTACTTATTTTTACGAACAATCTTTTATAAAGCATTTTTTTAACAAAATTTACTTTAAAAAAATATTGTATATATTCACAAATAAATGTATAAAGTAGAATTATCAACTAGTATTCCAAAATATAGTTCAATTATTAACCTTCAGCCAACCAAAAAAATGATTATAGTGCTTGATAACTACGTTGGCGGACTGGCGAGCCAACTCGCCCCTTTTTTGGCGAGTTTAAGGTGGGGCGGGCTTAAAGTAGGGGGCTAGGCGGGTACAAAATTCCAACCCAACCCGCCAATCTTTTACGTGTGTGCGGGCTGGTCCAACAGGCCACGACTCGTTTTGCCACCTCTACATGAAATCCTTGGGGTCCTCCTTCATTTCAGTCACTCGACTCAAATTCGACGATTAACACCTTTTCTATGTCCTAGTCATTTTACATTAAGACTCAAGATATTTAAACTGTGTGACTTGTAGGATGATATGGTATTCAACTTTAACCTCTCGGTTAAAAATGTTTCTTCTTTTGCTAAATTCACATTCCATGTATTTTTTCTTACTTATGCTTAGACAAAAGTCATGTGTTTCTAAGGATCATCTTGAATTTTCCAACCTCTCATTTGAATCCTCTTTCAACTCTCCAAGTATGACTATATCATATGTAAAAAGCATACATCTCAGTGCTAGCTCTTGGATATATTTGTGAGTACA